GTCCGAGGTGCAAGGGCTGATTGGGTGCTTGCAGCCTGAGGTGGGGGGCGGGGTGGTTGCCACCAGGGTGGCCAAAAGAGAAGAGCAAAGTGGTTGAGCAAACCGATGAACTGTGTACAGTTTGTCCAACCACATGGTTGTACATCTAGGCTAGGCACCAGCACTGTCGCCTTTCTTTCACTCTTTCACAGCACGTGTTTTCTGCACTTCCTCAAACCACCGCGATGTTTATGGCTCCAGGCGAATGGATGCCATTTATTTGGCCGATGAGTGATGCGCAGCTGAGCAGTGTTTTTGTCCGCTTGCTTTTCGAAGGAACTTGTGGTTTGAACTCGGCTTTTGGCCTCGTCCCATTTTTGTTCAGAACCTGTTGCGCCTCATGGCGCATATAGGTGCAGCTGTTGTTCAGCTTTCAAGTTAGATGTCTAGCCAGCGGTGATTCTGCGGCAGGGCACGACAGAGGCCCAGTGCAGCTTAGTGTGTGGCCTGCCATCAGGGCTTCACGGCTGTGCAGGCTGTCGTTGCCATCAATGATTCCAAAACTATAGGGTGTGCGAAGTATAGCAGTGCTTTTCTATACGTTCAGTTACTGAAAAAAGGATTGCACACTTGAATCGATCTGATATCATCTTAGATCATTTTCCACTATTATGCCCACAGTGACAGCAAGAACAAATCATTCGTCCACCCAGAAGCTTTTGGCGGAACTCTGCAAGTCAGGGTTGGAATCGAGGCTATCCGGGCTGGACGATGGCAAAGCCACCCGGCTGCCAATCTGTTGGGAGAAGTCCAAGCTCTGCGGATTGCTCAAAACTTGGCAAACTTTGCGTGTGGAAGCACGGAAGATCCATCGTTGGAAGGGTTTCCCCAGATATTGGAGACTTTGCCGTTCTTAGTCGCAACGTATTGGAACTCAATGCCTGAGTTCCGACATGCGATGAGTTCCTCCGTCCATCCCATGGGTCGATCTGTGACGTCTGTGCGCCGTTCCTTTCCGATGTTCGTACCACCAAATTGAGTTCACAGCGATCACAGCGTGCAGAAAGGGCGGTGAGTCAAGAACTCGCATCTCAGGGTCTTAAGAGAATTGACAATCAGTGAAGTGATCTCTCTCTCTCTCTCTCTCTTTAGACAACGAATAATTGCCATCAAATGTAGCAGTGCTCTATTATGTAGCTCTGCACACTTTCAGCATCCGCAGCCTATGCTGCGCAAAAGACGGAAAGAGCTTCGAGCTCTGTTGGCTTCTATGTGGCTTCTGTGTTGTGTTCTGCATTTTTCCGTCTCATCTCAGACTCAATGAACAGCTGATATTGGCCTTATTTTGTGTCCTTTGATTTCATCTCAGTTTTTTGGGTCAATATGACTATTCTCGAGTCAAAAAGGATTGTGGAAGAGAAAGCAGGCGATTTCTGTCAAACCTATTGGTCATTGGGATAGGCCCGCAAAATTCGTTGCAAAGCTGCACTTCCAGAAAAACGCCGCATCCTCACGGCAAGGTTTGCGCGAAACCTTTTGCGAAACAACATTTGCACCAAAATAATAGCAATGGCCTCCAACTTAAGAGCGATGGCCGCCAACCTACTAGCGATGCCTCCAGCCCAGTTGCGAAACAAATGTGCACAGCGACCAAGACCAAAGCGCCACCTCAGCCTGGCCGCTTTCGCCGCTGATCCGCGCTGCTTTCGTTCACTCACGCTTTGGCCTTGGATGGCCCCTTTGGCGGCTTGCCACTTTTTGGACATGTTTCGTCTCTGGCTTTGAATGCATTTCGGAGTCCCAAATTTCAGACCATTTCGGCCCAAATTGGTGTTTGTTGGTGTCGATTCACTCACCCGTGGCAGGCGTGGTTGTGATAAGGATTTGTTTGTCAGAACTTTTTCTTCCCTCGTTTGGTGCAGCTGGATGCATATTGCAATGCCAGGACGCAAGACATGTACTATGACTTTTCCTGGCAAGATGCTCCTCTTTCGTCCAAGAGCTCTCCCTTTGTGGCAGGTGAGGTGACAATTGTTTACTTGCGCATACTCATGATTCACGGAACATTTTACTTGCTTTTTTGGACATTGGACACAGGTGCGCTGTACCTGCTGACAGTCTTGCTTTTACCAAGTTTTGTAGCCGACTGAGTATTCAGCGTTCTTCGTTCAGATCTTCCCGCTTGCAGAACTGCGGGCATCGCCCCCTTAATTACTTCCAGGGTAGCTTGCCCAGAGTAGCCCTTCTTTGACCTGTACACTGACACTATCCTTCAGATAACAAGCATGTCTGGCTATCGTAGGGTGTTTTGGGTCAGTGCTCTTGAGGTCACTTCAAGTTGCCGCCAGTTTGCTACCATGTGGCTTCCTTTTCACAATGGCTCTCTTTGCCCATGACCCAGATGGTGTGATGCTGTGATAGTGATGCTGTGATGCGTTTTCCTTCGCACGCTTGGTCGGTTCGAGGCTTGGTGTCTGTGGTGCTATTTGCGGGCTGCCTTTTCGAAAGTGTGTGCCGACTCCGCAAAGAAGGTTGGGGCTGGCTGTGTGGGGCCCAAGGCTTGACCACGGGCACTGACTGCGGAAGACCCAATTTGAACCAAGGATTTGTGAAGACCCAAAAGCGGAGACAGCTGGTGCACTCCCGAGTTTGTGAGGGGCAGAAAACGCGGTTTGCACGTCATACAGTTCCCGCAGGTGCAGTTAACCGTCAGTTCATGTGTGGCTCAGTGGACCATCCTAGAAACATTGAAAAATGCCCCGGTGTCCTTTCAAAGTCTTACCTGTCGTTGCCTTTCAGTTGCGAGCAGCCAAAAGATACAGAGCAACCTTGAAAGATGCAACTCGGAAACCTTTCAAAAGCAAAATGGAAATGGCAGCAGGTTTGGGCAGCAAATCAGTCCGCAGCATTCGCATCAGCGTGAGCTGGCACTCAATCGTTGGCAGCTAGTCAGCTAAAGTCGGCGCTGCAGCCACGTCTCCAGTTTGTTTGACGTGATTGGTGCACAAGTTTGCATCAGAGCACCTTAAAAGGCTTGCAGATATGTTAGTGGAAAGAAAAACACCTATGTGAAGGACAGAACCTCAACATGATGTCCCTGTAGCGCACAGTGCTGCAATCAAATCTTGGGTTGCCCAACTCACACTAGGCTAGAAGGAACTGGATTTTGAGAAGTGTGCACGCAGCATGGCCAGCGCGAGTAGTACTCACAGCAGCAGAGCTTTTGTGTTGCAAGGCCCTTTGTATTTTTGGTCTTATGCCTTCTACGCCAGGGCCTCAGCGAAAGTCACTGACGTGGCTGGAGTCTGAATGCGCTGAGGTGAGCAAATATGTGGAATTTGGCGACACCTTCCTTTTGATCCTGAAGTCTGGACAGAGGCAATCCGTTGCTTCTGATCCTTCATTGTGCTTCCAGGCGTTCCTTCCAATTGTCGGCAGTGCCAGGTCTAAGGATTTCGGACTTCACCTCTATCATCACGCTCTGGTTCCAGCGCTCTTCTCAACTTGACACTGTTAGTGGAAACTTTGGGCAAGAGGTAGAATCTCTCTGATCTTCATCTCAGCCATTGTTTTCAAGATTGGTGTCTTAATGCCTTCGAGGTGATAACCTTTTTTTGGTTGCAGTACGCCATGTCTTTGCAGTTCATAGGCTGGCTGGATGAATGTCGTCTCAAGTTTTGCAAGATGACGCCGCAAGCTCGTCGAGGCGTACTTTGGAACACACTCGTCCACGTCATGATGTACGCTTATTTTGCCTTCAAGGTTGGGCTGAAAGTTTAAGAATCTAGAATCAGTTGACCTTTGCTGGTCCGAAGAAGAAGCCCTTGGCAGGAAGCAGGGTTTGATATGTCTCAGCCTTAGACTCGATGTTGGATATTGAGGCCTGGAGTGGTTCGTGACACGATTCTTGGCATTTCAGGCCTTTCAGCTTCGTTGTATGGTGCCTCCAAGTTGTGCAATTTCTGTGCAGCTTCCCTTGCGGCGCTATGGTATTGCGAGAGATATGGGACCGCGTTTACTTTGTTTTCTAGAAAGCACAAGCACGTTGAAAAGCCTTCCCTCAAGTTGAGTTATGGGTGAAGTCACCAACTCATGTTTCCATGTGTCTATTTTTCTCCAAAGGCGGCAGACACCACGAAAAATGGAACTCAAGGAAGGCTATACGTTTTCAATGTTTTCTCTTTCTTGCTTGAAACACAAGCGTGTGCCACGTCCATTCACACATCTTCATGTCCGTTTGCGAGATTAGAGATCGTTGTCCTTAATTCAACTTGCACGCTACACTTCAGCAGTATGCCTACAATGATCAACATAGATTTTGGTGCCACGCAAGTGTTCTTTTCTCCAGGAGGCAACATTTCGCTCATGCGAGACACGCACCTTTGCAGGACTCACCGTTCGGAGATATATGTGCTGGTCAGAAGACTATGTGGGCTTGCCAACCCAGCGCAACTGTTGTGAAGCGTTGCAATTTCAAAGTAGTCATCGTAGCAAGTCATGCTTTTGGATTCTGCTAAGGTCAGCTTTGGGTTCAACATGTCGCTTCTCTTTCTGTTCGGGAGCATAAAACGACGCCGTGACAAAGCGGGGGACCAAGTGAAGCTCGAGGGAAGGAATACTTTGTTGTACTCTGATGGTGCAAGTGTTGAGCTCGCACAGATCGATTCTGGGGTGGTTCACTCACGGCTGGCGGCGGAGGAGGAGTTTGTCGGTTTCTTTGCGCATTCATAGCAGCTTAGTGAGAACATCGACATCGTTTTCCCATTTTCTTGTCCACACACCTGCAGGAATGAACCTATGAGGTGAAATGTTTGGTTCGTTGAGTGGCCCAAGAGCCATAATAGCGGAGACTAGTGCTCCGGTGTGGAAAATCAACTGACCTGCCCGCAAGCTGTCGAACCGATAGAAGATTGAACACAGCTTGAAAAACCGTGGCGCAAAACTGAGATCCTAGATCGATTCCTACAACTTATGCAAGTTCCGTGGACCTGTTTGCTTAATGAGTGCCTTGCTAATACTTCCTTTGTGAGGAGTTGTGGAACACATGCTAGTGCAAATTGATCATATATGCGAAGCAGTATTTATGTGCTGATTGGCTCCTCAATGGGTGAGTTTAGCTGTGTGACTTTGCTTTGGGTCTTTAGAATCGTCTCGCCATGTCTCTTTGGTCCGGGCTATCCTTGATGTGGCGACTGGCTCCAGTTACCGTGTCGTATGTGAAGCTGGAATTCGACGACGCGGAAGTCCGCTTCAGTGAGGTCTGCGGGCACTTCCACGCTCGCTTTTTGACGGGCTGGATGGGTTGAATGCTGGGGGGGAACGTGTTCTTGTTTAGTCTTTTTTTCGAGCTAAGTCTGTGACATCAACAGAACTGATTTAAACAGATCGGGAGTATCAAAACAGAGTTTTTAGGCCCCTTAGTTCTGTGCTTCTTCCCTTTGACTGTCCAACATCGCGCAAAGTCCCGGGGACTTCGTCCCCGGGGAAACCGGTTGGGAGGACGAGCGTACCTACCTCTACAACGAAAACATCGCGATCGTGCGTCGCGAGACCCCGATAGCTGTGACGGAGATCCATCACGAGGCTGGCAGTTGGTAGGGTGATCTCTATTCATGATCGCTGGATACTGATGGATGTTGAGTTTGACAGGCCAGGAAGTCAGAAGAACAACTGCAGTTTCTGAAGGCGCTTCTGGCACTTTTTCTTGCTTTTCAATTGTCCTTTGCTATCGGAAGTCTTGCCAGGACATTTGGGAAGCCTGTGCTTGGAGCTGCTGCAATGTTTCGGAGGTCTCTGAAAGCGAGGAGTTTCGTACTTGAGGCGGCGGGGTTTCTGTGAACACCCATCCATGGTCTATTTCTTCTCCGGGACCGAGCAAGCTCTTGCCATGCTCCTATCTGACCACTTCTGTCTCTGTGTTTGTCCTGGATCAGACATTGCAGCCCTCTTCGAGCAAACGGACAACCTGAACGATTTGATTTCACCTTATTGGCGTCGCCAACGCTCTGAGTGCTCAAACTTCTGTCGCGCAGTCTTTTCTTTTCTTTTTATTGTAGTGTTTGTTTCTCTGAACCGAGCATCTGTTGGGTTTCAAGAGCCGATTTTTTTTGAGTTTCTTTCTTTACAGCCACTGTATCACTATGTGTCACGCAGAGTGGCGCCAAAGCAGTGTTGATGCAGTGGTTTGCCATCCTGTTCCCTTTCCTGCTTTGGAACACCCCAAATCATTTGAGTGACCGCTAAAACCAGTGATGAGGAATTACAAATAGACCACTTTCGTAAAAGAAAAGGTCCGTGAACTATTCATGTTTGCTGAAGCCTGGAAAAGCACGAAAGAGGTCGCCCTAAAGGGGTGCAGTTTTTCACCATGAACAGGGAAAAGAAGCTACGTTCGGGGCTCCTGGCCTCGCTACGAACGGAGCGATCGGACGCTACGTTCGGGGCTCCTGGCCTTACCACTAGTAACAAGAAGCGAACGAAACAAGAAAAGCCGCTTTTTCTTCCGTTTTTCGGAGCCGTTCCTCGGAGCCTTTCCTTTCCCTCATTCCCGTCTCCTTCTCCTTTCCGACTCTTCGCGTCTCGTTGCTTCGAGCGCGTCTCGAGTGCTGTCTTGTGGCGTGCTGCTTCGCCTTGTTTCGGCTTCCTCAAAACACATCGTGGATGAGTTGGATGAGACATCGGATGAGACATCCCTGGTGGGTCTGGTGGGTCGCATCTTTTTTGGACGAGCGTCTGACTTCTGTGTGCAATCATTCCTGTCCCCATGCTCCTCAGTTACGCGTGAGATCGCCTATTCGTCTACGTATTGTTTTTGGGGTCGCCGTTGTGTTTCCTGGCTATCCAGTTTCTTTAACAGTAGGTTAGCACAAGTAAGCTCAGCATGTTTTCTTTACACCCTTGCACCACAGACCACCTCATAACATGAACACATATGAAGATAAGGACCCCACCTTACTCTGAGAGCCAGTCACATCAACGGTTCATCGCGCATTTGTTGGGATTGTTTCGCGTTGCCTTCTATAAGAAGCTTGTTTTTCACCACAGCTGCTAACACCCCCAGATGCAAATTTGAAGATGCATGAAGATACCCTGTTTGAGGTGTATTGTTTTGTGGCACTTGGATTCGAAACAAGAGGGCGGTGAACATCCCCCCCAAACATGCTCTGGTGCTTGGCAATTTGGTTCATTTCGAGACTCTAGATGGGAGACTTGGCCGTGTCCGTGGCCCTCCCAAAGAAGAAGTTCAAGAAAGACCTCATCGACCGAGTTCCTCGTCATCGAAGCCCGCCGCCGGGACCATTGCAGCTTCGCCCTTCCAGATGAGCCCCTAGTAGCGTCCTTGCTCCTAGTAGCGATGCCAGGAGCCCGTAGTAGCGTCCTTGCTGCTAGTAG